GGGGGCTGGGGCCTTAGGGTCCTGGGGCCAAGACCCCTGCGTGGCCACCCTCCATCTCATACTCCCACCCCCAGGTCATCCCAAATGACAGGAAGATCATCTGGCCAGGAGGAGAGACAGAGAAGCCTCGAGGATACCAGATGTCCACCAGACTAAAGGTGGGGGGACCCTGTTGGCACACTCCAAGATTCCCATCCCCTGCACTTCATCTACTCCTTCAGACCAGGATGAAAGGGAGTGAGGTCATGGAACAAATGGCACAGGAAGCAGACGTGTAGGTGGGGAAAGAAGCTACAGTTTCTGTCCAATGGGCCCTCGCTAGCACTTTATTCTGGCCCAATTCTAGCTAAGTCTGAGAAAGAACTGATTGGTATGGGTAGAGGGACAATGGTGAGTACTCTGGGCCCCAGTGCAGAGTTCAACTTAAATTTACTGTCTTAAGTGTCTCATTTTTCCCTGGACACCCAGGAACCCACTTTTTAAGCTGGTTTCCTCCTGTATAATCCCTTTTTCCCTCAGTCTGATTTACACATTCACTGAGTTAATTCATGGGTCACCCCCCCCCGCCTAATTCTGAGAATTCCTCCTCATGTTGAGCCACACCACACCCAGCTCTGATATCATAGACCACCTAAGACATGTACCTAGCTAACCTTCTCTGTGTCATCAAATAACTCAATCCTGCTAATTTTCTGAACTCACCTCTGCAACCTGGGGCCTGTGGTCTCACTCAATGGGTGAGTGCCTGCCTCCATTCTCACAGGGGAGAGTGTCTCCTTGAAAAGCCAATGTGATATCTCTTTGCAGTTCAGGCACCTGATGCTGCAAAGTCTGAAAGCACTGGGTGGTTGTGGTGCACCCTTTTAATCCCAGCACTCTGAAGACAGAGGCAGGTGGATCTCTATGAGTTCAAGACCAGCCTGGTCTACACAGCTAGTTCCAGGACAACCAGGGCTACACAAAGAAACCCTGACTTAAAATACCAAAGGGGAAAAAAAGCTGAAAGCCAAACATCAATAACCAAGGGAACTCCTCAAGGTGCAGATGGATATTAGCAATGTTTTGGGGCCCACTGATGTATTAAATTATATATATATGCATATGCCCACAGCGGTAAGGAGAAAATATTGGACCCCCTGTAACTGGAATGGATAGTTGTAAGCCACCATGTAGGTAATAAGAACAGAACCTGGGTCTTCAAGTGCTCTTAACTGCTGACACATTTGTCTAATCCCATCACTAGTGTTTTGACAGCACTAACATATATACTCATATAATAGAAAAAAAAATGTGATCCTATCCCCTTCTCTTGACTCTTCCTTCTCAAGACTCCCAGCTGAGGGTACCTCCTCCATTTCTTCTCACCACTCCTGGCATTGTTGTCCAGTCCTGCCTGGGCTGCTTATCCCTCTGCTCTCCACATTCCGTAGAGGCCCTCAGCAACTGCCTGTGTTACATTTCAGCATTCCCCAGACTTATACCTGTCCCCCAGCTAACCAGACCATGAGCCCTAGAGAACAGGAAAAGGAGAGTATCAAAGCTGAAGCCTGGGCTAAAGAGGCAGCCTTGGAAGAAAAGCATAACTAGGTATAGTGGAGCACAACTTTAAACCCAGTACTTCAGTGGCAGATGAAAGAATCAGGAGTTCAAGGTCATCCTCAGCTACATAGCAAGTAAGAGGCCAACTGGACTATATGAGGCCCTTACTTTCTTCTTTCTTTCCTTCTTTTTTACTTTTTCTTTTCTTTTCTTTCTTTCTTCTTTTTTTTTGTTTTTTTTTTTTTGTTTTTTTTTTGGTTTATTTGGTTTATTTTGCTTACCCTACCATATTGCTGTTTATCATCAAAGGAAGTCAGGACAGGAATCCAAACAGAGCAAGAACCTGGAGGAGGGGCTGATGTAGAGGCCATGGAGGGGCACTGCTTATTGGCTTGCTCCTCATGGCTTGCTCAGGCTGCTTTCTTATAGAACTCAAGACCACCAGCCCAGGGGTGGCTCCACCACAATTGGCTGGCCCCTTACCAATGGCTAATTACGAAAATGCCCTTTAGGCTTTCCTACAAGCCTGATTTTATGGAGGCATTTTTTAAATTACTTACTTTATTTATTCTACTCTTATTGTATCCTGACTGCACTTCTCCTCCCTCTATGAGGTCCTTCCTTAAAAAAAAGAAAGAGAGCCAGGCAGTGATGGCACACACACCTTTAATCCCAGTCCTCAGAAGGCAGAGGCAGATGAATCTCTCTGTAAGTTCAAGTCCATCCTGGTTTACATATCAAATTCCAGGGCAGCTAGGACTATACAGTGAAACCCTATCTCAAAAACAAAACAAACAAAAAAATAGAAAAAAGGAAAAAAGAAAGAAAGAAAACAAGAGGCTGGAGGGGGTAGGTTGGTAGGACATACCTTTAATCTTAGTTTTTAGGAGGCAGAGTTGATCACACACACACAAACACACATATACACTAGAGTTTGTAAATAGCTCAATGATTTCAGCACCCATGTAAAAATCTGAACATGGCTGTGCACTGTAGTCATGGTAACCCTATCATTGGAAGGAGGGAACAGAGACAGGCAGATCACTAGAGCTTCTGACTAACCAGCCTAGCCAATTACTGTGCTCCAAGCTTAGTGAAGAAAATTTGTCAATATCATCATCATCATCATCATCATCATTATCATCATCATGGGGCTGGAGAGATTGCTCAGTACCCACACGGCAGCTAACAACCATCTGTATCTGCAGTTCTAGGGGATCCATATACATCCTGAAGCACAGATGTATATGCCAGCAAAACATATTTAAAACAGAAATAAAAGTCTTTAAAATAAAGTAAAATAGAGGCTGAAAAAGGCTCAGAGGATAAAAGCACTGGATGCTCTTCTAAAGGTCCTGAGTTCAATTCCCAGGAACCGCATGGTGGCTCACAACCATCTATAATGAGATCTGGTGCCCTCTTCTGTCGTGCAGGCACACATGCAGGCAGAACACCATATAAATAATAAATAAATTTTAAAATAAAATAGGGCCTGGAAAGATATCTTTTCAGAGTTAAGAGCACTTGTTGCTCTTCCAAAGAACCTGGATTTAATTCCCAGAACCCACATAGCAGTCCACAATCATCTGTAACTTCAGTTCCAGGGGGTCTGATGCCTCCTTCTGATTTCTGTGGGCTCCTGCATGTATACATATACACACAATAGGCACACACATACATAAAATAAAATAAAAAATATTTAAATAATAAAATAGGATAGACTGTGATAGAGGAAGACACCTGACATTGACCTCTGGCCAGCATGTGCACTTGTACACATGCATGAATACACAGGGAAACAAACTTACATGCAAACATACGAGGGAAAAAAATTACGAGGGTCAAAAAATGAAGGCTACATGCCAGTGGAGGCCAGGGTGGCACATTTTACTTTATTTGGCAAATGATAAGAGTAATGTGTAAACTGGGACCTGAGGAGAAATGGGCCACAGTGAGGACAGTATTGAAGGAGGCACTTTTGATGAATCAGGGCAGATGGCTGAGGAAGTCTGTGCCCTACTTTAGCTCCTCCCCAGACCTGTATCTGTCCCCTAAGAGCAGCAGGCAGGCAATGCTAGCCATGTTGGAAGATGTAGACTGACCTCTGAAAAGCAGGGCAGAGGTTCCAAGCTTAGGACTGGGGCTCAGCTGCACGCTGAGAAGACAGCACCTGGAGACACCCAAGGGCAGGTGGCCCAGGCTGGCTCTTGTCTTCCCCCAGATAGTGACAATCCACCAAGAGCCCTTTGTGTACGTCAAGCCCACACTGAGTGATGGGACATGCAAAGAGGAATTCACAGTCAATGGTGACCCGGTGAAGAAGGTGATCTGCACAGGGCCTAATGACACATCACCAGGCAGCCGTGAGTGCTGGGCAAAGTGTGGTAGGGCACAGGGAAGTAAAGTCAGGGACCCACTGTTGCTATTCCCTAACTGCCCACAGCCCGCCACACGGTGCCTCAGTGCTGCTATGGCTTCTGCATTGACCTGCTCATCAAGCTGGCACGGACCATGAATTTTACCTATGAGGTGCACCTGGTGGCAGATGGCAAGTTTGGCACACAGGAGCGGGTATGGAGTGGATGGCAGAAGTAGGGTCTGGAGTGAAGGGGCTAGTGGGAGGGTCCTTCGGGTTGAGATGGATTAATTGGAAAACTATGGGTCGGGTGGAGCCTCTTTAGGGGAGACCTGTTGGTTGGGGCTGGGCGTTAGAGATGAGCTAGATGTGGAACAGGAGACATGCTCCCCATGTGCTAGGACTACTGTGGTGTGGGAGATCTTGTTCAAGGACCCATGCCCATCCTGTCTGCAGCCCCACTGGTTCTGTCACTTTTCAGGTAAATAACAGCAACAAAAAGGAGTGGAATGGAATGATGGGAGAGCTACTCAGTGGTCAAGCAGACATGATTGTGGCACCACTGACCATCAACAACGAGCGTGCACAGTACATAGAGTTCTCCAAGCCCTTCAAGTACCAGGGCCTGACCATTCTTGTCAAGAAGGTAGGCAGGGATCAGGTGGAGATGAGATAGGGGCATGGAAGGCCCAGGAGAAACTGACCACTTCATCACCTGCAGGAAATCCCCCGGAGCACGCTGGACTCATTTATGCAGCCTTTTCAGAGCACACTCTGGTTGCTAGTGGGACTGTCCGTCCATGTGGTGGCTGTGATGCTGTACCTCCTGGACCGCTTCAGGTGAGCACCATGCAGAAATCCAGACTCCCTCCATTTATAGGGTGGGCAGAACTGGGTAGGATCAGGCAAAGATGCCTCTCCTGTCCTCTCTATTGCCTTCCTTTTGCACTCTACAGTCCATTTGGCCGATTCAAGGTGAACAGTGAGGAGGAGGAGGAGGATGCACTGACCCTGTCCTCTGCCATGTGGTTCTCCTGGGGTGTCCTACTCAACTCTGGCATTGGAGAAGGTGAGGTTAAACCCAGGTCCTGCCTGGCTGCATCCCCTGCTTTCCAGGAACCGACCCAAGTCTCTGCCCACAGGTGCCCCCCGAAGTTTCTCTGCACGTATCCTAGGTATGGTGTGGGCTGGTTTTGCCATGATCATCGTGGCTTCCTATACTGCCAACCTAGCAGCTTTCCTGGTGCTGGATCGACCTGAGGAGCGCATCACAGGCATCAATGATCCAAGGGTGAGGCCCTCGGGCAGGGGGAAGGGTCAAGAGGTTAGGAGGGAGTGTCTGTTCTGGTGAGGTCTGGGGAGCAGCCACAAGCCGAGATCTCTGTCCCTGCAGCTCAGAAACCCCTCAGACAAGTTCATCTATGCAACTGTAAAACAGAGTTCTGTGGACATCTACTTCCGGAGGCAGGTGGAGTTGAGCACCATGTACCGGCACATGGAAAAGCACAACTATGAGAGCGCAGCTGAGGCCATCCAGGCTGTGCGGGACAAGTGAGCAGTCAGACAAAGGGCCGCCATGGTTGGGTGGGATAAGAAAGGGACAGGCAGAAGGGAGTCCACTCACACAGGAAACACAGTGAAGATTGTCTGTGCTGTAGTGTGAGCAGGGTAGAATGAACAGGCTATGTGTTGTCCCTTTGACTTTGCCTCTGCCGGCAGCAAGCTCCATGCCTTCATCTGGGACTCAGCGGTGCTGGAGTTTGAGGCTTCCCAGAAATGTGACCTGGTGACCACGGGTGAGCTGTTCTTTCGCTCAGGCTTTGGCATCGGCATGCGCAAGGACAGCCCCTGGAAGCAAAATGTTTCCCTGTCTATACTCAAGTGAGTCTACCCTGTGCTGGAAACTCCCTTTCCCTTCTCCACTTTGCTCTAAGAGCCTCCCCACAAGGTTGGACCTTGTTCCCAATGCCCCAGCGGGAACACACCAAACTGTTCTACCCTAGGCCAACAGTTGTTCACTAGTCACTGATATCATCAGGCACAACTGCCTTAAAGGATCCTCTCCACCCAAACCAGGCATCAAACCAGGCATCAGTCCCTTGGGGGAACCTTCTCACTACCAGCCCAGAAGCCGCACTTGGACTACAGATCCTGTTCCACAGTGCTTCCTCCCCTGTGAGCCCTGCTCACTCCCAGTCCTTCCCCCTGAATGCCCTGCACACTCACACAGCCTCATTCTTAGATTCAAGCCCTGCCCATTCCCAGCCCCACACCCGCTGCTACCCATCCCTTCCTTTTCCCATCCCTACCCAGGTCCCATGAGAATGGCTTCATGGAAGATCTGGATAAGACATGGGTTCGGTATCAGGAATGTGACTCCCGAAGCAATGCTCCTGCGACTCTCACTTTTGAGAACATGGCAGGTGGGTCCTCCATGCTGCCATGGTACTGTGATGGATTCTCTAGGGGCGATAGCATTCGGGCAGGCAGATGAGCCACTGGGCCTTTCACACAGGGGTCTTCATGCTGGTGGCTGGAGGCATCGTGGCTGGAATCTTCCTGATTTTCATTGAGATCGCCTACAAGCGACACAAGGATGCCCGTAGGAAGCAGATGCAGCTGGCTTTTGCAGCAGTGAACGTGTGGAGGAAGAACCTGCAGGTAGGACAGGCCACCCTCCGAGGCCTGGCGTCCAGGGCCCCGCCAGGCCATGGCCCTACTCTATCCCTACAGGCTGTGGCACTGGCTCTGGCTCATGGGCAGGACTGGTGCTAGGAGCCATGGCCAGGGGCAGTGGTGAGTGTTCCCAAGGCACAGGGGCAGCACAGGCAGGGGCTGCCTGCAGGTGGTCACCCACTGCCAAGCTGGGCCAAGGGAGGCCATACACCCTGCTTCAAGTTTCTACCTGGCCCCTCTGTCTCCAGTCACCTACTGGAACCCAGTCCGTAGGAGGGCAAGCAGGCAGGGTAAGACCTGCCCACCTGTGTATAGCATGTGAACCTGAGATGCATTTAGCCCTCTATCATCCAAGCTCCTTTGCCACCATCTAGGGACCCCTTTTCATGCTGTGTCTTGCTTCGTGACTCCAGTCTAAATGGGGTTGATCTGCCTCAGGCCACATCCATGTGGATTTTCGGTTATCAGGGATGAGGCTACATGTAGGATGGTCAGAGCCCACCATGGAAAGGACAGAGTAGGCAGTGAGGTTCATGCAGGCCTGAAGACTGGTGGCCAATGGCCAGGTTTTGATTCACTTGTCTCTTCTCTTTCTCTGGGTGTCTTCCTGGAGCTGTGTCCTAAGCTGACATTGATGTTGCAATGAGGGCTGTGGGAGGACAGGGCTATTGGGGCCCCCTCACCTCTCATCCACCTATTCTTGCTTTTGGCTCTACAGGTCCCCTGGGGACCAGGCCACAGCTGTCCAGGGTCATTCTGGCCATCAGACTCCAGACCAGTGTCCCCGGATCTGCCTCTGTCTATCACTCCAATTCTAACTGGACACCTCCTTGGGTCCAGTCGTGTACCCTTTGGGGTCAGCAGCCTCTGAACAAAAAGGCTGGTGTGGCCTGAGGGGAAGCTCTTCCTGTCATCAGGGGCCCCTCCTCCTCAGGATGCCTCTAAGCCAGGGAACCAGGCGGATATCCCAGGAAGAGTGCCAGCAGGACTTCCCCAGCCCAGTCCCAGCACAAACAAGGACAGGACCAACCCCGGACAGAAGAGGTCACTCTCAAAAGTCTGGCTGTTGGTCCATCTGTATAGCACAGTGAGGCAGGCAGGAGTCAGGCCAGGCTGACTGACTGAGTGGCTGGCCAGGCCTGGCAACAGCCCCCAAGGAGCAGGCAAGGGCAGGTTTGGCCGCCACCCTTAGCCATCTAATCACTTATACATATTCATTTTAGGATAGAAAGAGTGGTAGAGCAGAGCCTGACCCTAAAAAGAAAGCCACATTTAGGGCTATCACCTCCACCCTGGCCTCCAGCTTCAAGAGACGTAGGTCCTCCAAAGACACGGTAAGGGGGAAGCACCCCAGTCCCGCGTCTCTGATTCCTCCTTTGCCCCCTGTCTGTCTCCCTCTCCTTTACCATCCCACCCCTGTCCCCACCACCAACCCTGGCCATCTGTGCCAAGTCAGTCCTTCGCCCACCCTCCACCCACTCAAGGGCTGTCCTTTAGAACTCTCCAGACCTCTCCTAAAGCCCTCACTAGTCCTCAGCTTCTCCATGTGTCTCCACGTTAGTCTGCCCACCTCTCTCCCCATGCCATGACCCACACACCATCTGGAAGCTGTGTCATGTCGTTGGTCAGTCAGTCAGCCTCACCATCTCTCTGGACTACCCGGACCCTGGGAACCAGAGTAGCCCTGTCCCAGGTTGCCCCAGCCAGGAGGCCACACTGCATCTGTTTTATCCCTGTTTCTCTTGCCTCCGAAAGGGGCTTGATGTCTTCACTCTTGCCCTAAAACAGCCCTGGAGGGTGTAGCTGTGATGTCCCATCACGTCCGTCTGTCTGGCCACTGGCCCCGCCCCCCAGACACCTGTCTCACCTGTCTCACCAGAGCCATGCGTGTTGCATCTTCCATGTGGTCTCTGTGTGGGCCGGGGGCTGGGGGCCGGGCCTGGGTCCATCTGGGTGGACGACTGGGGCCTAGCATTGGCACTGACCCTTGGTCAGGGGAGACTGCAGGTGGGGAGTGGGGTGGGGTCAAGTTGAACAGGTCCCTAATGGAGGTGTGGCAGCAGAGCCCAGGTGATCTGAGCATGGAGAGGGTATCCTTGAAAGCCCTGGCCTGAGCACCTAAGGCAAAACTGAGGTTCTCAGAGGGAGGCCCAGGAAGGAGAGGCTAAGGCCAGGCCACAAACCACAGGCCACTGTCAGAGCCAGGCCTCTGCTTTCAGAACCAGAACCCGTCCCCTGCCTCGGGCAGCACGCAGCATGCTACTGCAGCAAAAATGCGTACTCAGAAAAAATGGGTTCCAATGGGTTCCCATTTTGCTAGAGCCCTCCCTGGTCCTAGGCAGTTATCCTCTAGTTTACAGGAAGCCCCTCTAACCAGTGGGTAATGTCACCCACAAAGAGCTTGTGTCCCATGAGGAATCTAGATTTGTAGTTACACCCCTATGTCCAGGAAGAAAGCAAACAATTTGGTATGGAGCAGTTGAAGTCCCAGGTTCAAAGTACGAGGGTGCTCCAGAAAGGCCCATGAGGCCTGGCTGCTCAGCTCTCTGAGGGCCTTGGTACAGAAAGAGTGGACGAAGAGTAAGGGTCTGTGGGCTGCACCAACTTGAGGCTCCAGGAGCTGGTGCAAACACTATTTCCAGGGTCACCCAGACCTGGGAAAGTGGGCAAGGCCTATGCTGCCAGGTCTGAGCCAGAACTCCCACAAGGGGGCGCAGGGGAGGGAGAGCAGGGCTGAGGGTCCTGTGGGCTGGAATTTGTGTGGGAAAGGGGAAATTTGACAAAGATAATCTGTACTTTTGGGGCCAGGTGGCCAAAGAGGAAAGTACGAAAGTCCTGCAGGTGACAGGCCATTTTCAGTGGGTGTCACTCAGCCTCGGGGCCCCATCTGGAGCTGGTCGGGTACAACTCAAGAGATCTACATGGTTCCTTCCCAGGACTTGTTCTCAGTTCTATCTTTACTTGAGCCTCCCTGGGCCCCTGGGACCGGTTTTTCCTGGCCATCTGGAGCTGGCCCCACCCTTCAGGGTTGACTTCTGGGCATTGCCACTGTGGCTGGGTGGGGGAGGGCTGCCCAGCTCCCACCCTGTCTCTGGGGCTGGGTGCTGTTCAGAGGGAGGCCTGGGTGGGGGCTCCTTTGGGTGGGGTGGGGTCGGTCCAGCTGCTGAGATCCTCTGCCCCTGTCCTGTGGCCGGTCTGGGCCAGGGCAGCACTGGGCGCTCAGGGCTGGGATCCCCGGTAGCCGGCGGGGCCAGCAGGTATTGATTGTTGGTTCTTATTTATAGAGCACCGGGGGTGGACGCGGCGCTTTGCAAAACCAAAAAGACACAGTGCTGCCGCGACGCGCTATTGAGAGGGAGGAGGGCCAGCTGCAGCTGTGTTCCCGTCATAGGGAGAGCTGAGACGCCCCGCCCGCCCTCCTCTGCCCCTCCCCCCGCAGACAGACAGACGCACGGGACAGCGGCCTGGCCCACGCAGAACCCCGGAGCACGACGGGGTCGGGGGAGGAGCACCCCCAGCCTCCCCCGGGCCGTGCCCGCCTGCCCGCCGGTCGGCCGGCTGGCCGGTCCACCCTGTCCCGGCCCCGCGCGTGCCCCCGACATCGGAGCTAACGGGCCGCCTTGTCTGTGTATTTCTATTTTACAGCAGTATCATCCCACTGATATCACGGGCCCGCTCAACCTCTCAGATCCCTCGGTCAGCACCGTGGTGTGAGGCCCCCGGAGGCGCCCACCTGCCCAGTTAGCCCGGCCAAGGACACTGATGAGTCCTGCTGCTCGGGAAGGCTTGAGGGAAGCCCACCCGCCCCAGAGACTGCCCACCCTGGGCCTCCCATCCGCCTGCCCTGCTGCCTGGCAGGCAGCCCCTGCAGGACCAAGGTGCGGACCAGAGCGGCTGAGGATGGGCCAGAGCTGGGCAGGGCCACAGGGCGCTCCGGCAGAGGCAGGGCCCTGGAGTCTCTGAGCAGTGGGTGAGGGGCCTAAGTGGCCCCAGTCGGAGCGGTCTGGAGCAGAAATGGCAGTCCCGTCCTTCCTCCAGCCACCACCCTAAGCTACAGTGGGGGCCCATGGCCCCAGCTTGCTAGGTCACCCCCCCTCCTCCAGCGCCTGCTCTCTGCAACCTAAATTCCATCTCTCTCCTACTGCACCACCCTCCCAAGACCCTTCCCAACCCCATTCACTGGGCTGGCCCTGATCTTTCCAGGGCTAGCCTTCATTGCCCTAGCGGTAGCGCTTCCCAGGGGTGCTCTCTGGCTCCCAACTGTCTAGGGCTCCAGACTCCAAGAGGGCTGAGCCTTCTCTTCTACCTACAGCCACAATAGGCTTCCTCAGACGCTGGCTTGCGAGCCCCCGCACCTTGGGCACCAGGGAGCGCCATCAGCCTCCCATTCGGGTGTCACTCACCCAACACCTTGTACATGACCGGTTCTCCCAAGTGTCCAAGCGCGTGCCTTCCCCCATGCCGCCCGTGCGCAGCAGCGCGCTGCCCCTCTTCCCCAGGGACACCGGGCTCGCACAGCCACCCCTAATTTCAGTATTCAGTGGTGATGCCTAAAGGAATGTCAGAAAATTTCCGGGTTGTGTCTATTGTTGACGCCTACAGGAAGGGTGAAGGGAGGATCAGGGATTTGGGGAGTTTTCAAAGTGCGGAGCACTGCGGGAGCGCTGGAAACAACCGCAGCCCATTTAGGCTTGGGTAGGTGCAGCTGCGGGGCTCCCAGTGGTCTCCAGGGAGGCTGGGCCCTCGGGGTCTGGCTGTCTCCTTAGTAAGAGGCGCACCCTGGTGCGGCGGCGGTGGCGGCGCCGTGCACCACAGGCAGTGAGCACGGAGCCCAGTGCCAGGCAGATGCCCAGGCTAGCAAGGAAAGAGACCGGCCCGAGAGCGTAGACCACCGCCAGGTCTCGCGCTGAGAGTGACTGAGCGCAGTGTCTGAAGGCGGCGTCCGGAAAGGCTGTCAGCAGGCTGAGCGTCTGGCGTCTTGGAGACACGCAGAGCAGGGTCTCAGTTTCTGCGGGACACAGGAGCGGCATCAGATGGCAGCAACTGCACCAAACATTATCCGTCCTGCGACCCAGATGGCTCACCTGAAGCGGGACGCGGGTGCTTGCGCAGCCAGGTGCAAAGCGGGCGCAAAGCGCAGCTGCACGCCCAGGGGTTGCCTCGCAAGCGCAACACTTCGAGTGCAGGCAGGCTATTCAGCAAACCCGCCTCGAGCGCAGACAGTGAATTGTCCTGCAGGCTGAGCACGCGCAGTAATGGGAGCGGGCCCAGGATGGAAGGTTCCAGGAGTGCCAGCCGGTTACTCGCTAGGGAAAGGAAACTCAGCGCGCGCAGCGGTGCGAAGGTGCCGGGAGACAGAGTTTCCAGCTGGTTGGTGCTCAGGTCCAGCCATTGTAACACTCCCAGACCCCAGAAAGCTCGTGCGTGCACCGACCGAAGCCCGTTCTCCCTCAGGTCTAAGTATAGCAGCGCGCCCACATCGGCGAACGCGCCTGGAGGCAGTGCGCTCACGCGATTGTGATCTAGCAGCAGTGAGCGTACGCGCCAGCTCAGGCCATCTGGTACCGCAGGCAGCGCTAGTCCGGAGCAATTGGCCTTGCCTCCTAGTGAACACCAACAGGCCTCGGGGCATTCGGGGGCCACCGGGAATGTGGAAGGGGCAGTTCCAACGTGCTCCTGGGTCCAGACTCGCCTCAATGACATCAGTAGCAGCAGATACAGTTGCGGCGAAAGCCGCGAGAAAAAAGAGCCCCACATGCGGGCAGCTTGAGAACTACCGGTGACCAGAGTTTGTCCCTACCTCACCTGCACAAGTATTAACTCTCCTGCCTGAGCACAACAGTTTCCTCATAGCTGGTTCCTCGCCTTAGGCGGGGGCTAGGCACAGAGCCAATACCCAATACTGCCAACCACCTGTCCAGAGCTCCAGTCTTGCCTTGGCCCTGAGCCGGTAGTAGAACTGGTGAGACTGCTGGACTCCCCTGAGACCTAAAGGGCAGGATCAAACCCAGCAGTTCCACAGAGAATGCAACCCACAGGGCCTTGCTCCATACCCCAGTTCCGATTCCATTCCTATTCAGCAAAAAGACCCCACAGAGACTGTCCCAGTCCCTAGACAGAGGATTGGTGAAGGTACAAGCACATAATGGAACCTAAACGCAGAGGAAAGGCCCTTGAAGTGTAGGAGGCAAAAGAGAGAGTGTAGGAAATCGGTTGCTTCAACCCCTCCACCTTGTAGTTCTTAAGGACAGTGTCAGTAGAAAGGGGCACTGGCCTAAGTCTGGTCAGTGCAGCTCCCTTTTGACTTGCCAGCACATAGGTCCTGTTATAGGGAATCTGGGGAGGTGGGAGGACCCAGGATTAGTCATCATTGTAAGACCAGCAGTAGGAAGGTACGGGAAAGAGCTGAACTGGCTAGCAGGCTAGGAGCTAGAGACCCCATGGGTGTGGCTCAGTGCCCTAGGGTGGAGATACCCACTATGATCCAGGTACAAACACTACACCTTGAGGGGCTTTCAAGAAGGACAGCACATAATCACTAAATACTGTTTAATTCCCCAGCCTAGCTGCCCTCCACTACTCTGGAAGGGAGGGAGGAGGAGGGGGAAGGGGTGGAGGTGGCTCCTCTAGAGGAACCTCCATGGGGATGGTCATGAGGCCATGGCTCTCCAAGGATGGCATCATGGATACCTCCAGATCAGGGTCCATGAGGTGGGACTCCACGTGTACCGAGTGCAGGTCTATGCGATCTTCCTGGAGCCCGTAGGGCCCCACCAACCTGCATGATGGGCTAGGTCAGCATGATCTGGCAGGGTCTTGGCTACCCAGGGGAAGCCAGCCCTTGAAAACATTACTCTTGATGCCACTGTGAAGTCACTTTTAGGAGGGGCAGAGAGAGGACAGAGCTCACCCTTGAGGCTTCCTCTGCCACACTTACCTGTTTTCTTTGTGTCCGGGGCATGTGTCACTGAGGGGGACAAAGGCAGGTATAAACTCTGGAGAAATGCTTATCCCACACACCTAGCAGCCCCGTGCAACCTCTCTCTTCCTATAACCCCATATCCAACACACATTATCCCCTGCTTCTCATGACATACCACCCCAGGAAGGGACCCCTCAAAGCATGACTAACAGCCCAGGGCTAGTAGCACGGCCTCACTCCCACTGCACCCAACCCCAAGCTCACGCACCCCTTGGCCCGAAAGACACCAATCGCCACAACAACGAGGGCACAGAAGCAGCTGGCACTGACACCAGCCAGCACCACAATGAGGGCAATAAGGGCCTCGCGGCTGAGGCCAAGGCTGCAGTCACAGTAGGTTCCAGCTGCAGAAACAAGGCCACAAGACCAGGGGCCAGTCACCTGCCTGTGGAGGATATCAGATCCACCCCAACCCTAGTGGCCCTCAGGACACAAATGGCTTGCCCTGTCTGGAAAGGGAGGGAATGTGGCTGGGAGGCTAGCAGGAGGAGGCACCTGCAGCAGGGAAGAGCAAAAGGGACAAACATATCAGGCCAAGGGGGCTGCCAGCTGGACAGGAGTCAGGCTGGGGACAGGGGGCCATGTCCAGCCCCCAGCCCCACCACACACCTCTAAATGGAACTCATTGGAAGGTGCTGACCTCACAGTGGGGTTGTGAGGCAGAGGGCGTGGGGGCAGGGCCTTAGAGTACCCAGGCTGGCTTGAACTTCATTCACACTTGGATGCTGGAACTCCAGAAGTCCTGGGCAGACAGTCCTGGATGGAGCAGGTAAAGGGGACAGGGTTTGTGAGCTCTGGGCAGATCTGTGTCAGGGCTATAGCTTTAAGGACAGATAGCAGTTCTAGTTAAATGGGTAAGAAACATACTTGGCCCTCTGATGTTGGGAACCATGGTCTCCATTTGCTTTTCAACATCAGGACTGCAGAGCTCTGAGTGGAGTCAGGGCTCTACCAAACTACAAACTCATCCCCAGGTTGTGGCAAGTAGGGGAAGCAGGAGAAGGTGAGGTGGGTATATATGTTGTTACCCTCCTTGGTTGCTTTGGAAGGCTGAGCTCATATAGCCTATAAAGCCTCTAGAGGACTGCTGGTATCCTAAGGAATCCTTGATCATCCACTGAGCAGGATACCACACCATATCCTTAGAACATTCTCCCCAGAGAACAGATGGCTCAGAACTGGTTGCAGTCTCTGCCTCACATGTGCTGTTATTAGGCAGAACTCAACGCTCTGAGTCTTTGTTGCCTCTGAGATCATACAGCTACTGTCCAAGGGAGCAAGTTTGTCTATAGGCTAGCATGGTCAGGGTTAACCTAGACCTGTCCTGAACTTGGTGTCCCAGCCCCACCCTACTGCAACTCTCCTCTATGAGGGACCTGTCAAGCAAAGTAAGAAACAGTAGGAAGAAATGTCAACCTGCAGCTGACTGAGCCCAGCCTCCTGCCAGCTAGGGCTAACAGAGTGCCAGGAAGGGAGGTACAACTTGAACCCAGTGGCCCTAATCACTAGGGACATTCCTGACAGCAGACACAGATACCCTTCTAGCGTTGGTCAAGGTACAGCTAGCAGCTCCTGACATGGGCTTTGTATTGGTTGAACAATAATGATGAGAACCAAGACTTCATCTCGTCTTTAGGGCACATCCACAAATCTAAAGGAATGCAGAACAGGTGTGCCTGAGGCGCAGGGGCTGGCACTGTCACCCTGCCAGGCCAGCCTAGCAAGTATATATCCTGGTTAGGACAAAGACACACCCATCTGTGGACAGGTGGTATGAGCCAGATAGAAACATTGTGGAGGGACATTATTGGCCTCTGCTGTCACCAGAACTCACAGGAGTTCTTGTAGCAGAAGCATTCTAGTGGGGTAAAGAGCAGGGTTTGAGGACTGGGAGCTAGAAGAGAGCAAACCTCCTTTCTGAAGTACTGTGAAAAAGGTTTTCTAGGTTTGTGGAAACACTTAGGCTATGGCCAAGGCTGTGTGCCTAATAACTACCTCCACCCTTTAAAACCTGGGGCTGAGGGAACTAAGAGTAGTGGCAGCAGCTGAAGATGGGTGTGGCTTGTAGCCTGAGATCTATCTTGGGTGGATGTGGGTGTGCAAGCAATGATTCCAAAGGGCTTTTGTTTCCTTTGAGGATGGTGCCTCAGGTCAGGGTATTTCCTGCCTGAAAACAGCTGTTCTGGGACAGGGAGGCAGGAGCCCATGCTGTGCTGCACCCAGGTTCTGTAGTCTAAAAGGTCAGTCCAGACCCCAAGGTTCAGGGCAGAGCCACCTGTCTTCAACAGGCAATAGCCAAAGGTGGCTGAGCCCAAACTTGAGGGAAAGGATTAAATTGCTTCCTGGGTTCATCTCTCACCCTGGCCCTCGTCCTGTACTTCTGACTGCAAGTCTGGGAAACATGAAAGAATCTGAGCACTTACTTGTAAGCTCCAAGCAGTATGTCCACATAGCCTGGTACAAGGAGGACAAAGGTCTAATCTTCCTTAGGGTATATACCTAAAGAACCCTTGACCACTAGACACAAGGAATGTACTTGAATCAGGTTGCCTCACCTTAGAGGACCTGAGAATGCAAATGTCCTAACAAAACAAAGCCTCACATTGACTCCACACAGGCTACAAGGAAGTAAAGATCCAAGAGTTCCTTTTAAAGGCCACAAAAACAGAATGGGGCTACAAGTCTTACTTAGGAGACCTTAGGCAGCCAACCCTATTCACTCTTGTCCCAGCACAGGTCCAGGGCAGGCCACATAAGACAGGTTCAGGGGATCTATTGCCTAAACACAGAAGTGCAGCCTGGCTGCTTGGGTAGCCCTGTTACCTGCTCCTGGGAACCATAGAGGGCAAACCTGTGTATATTCATTGGGCCCAACAAACTACACGAAAGGATGAACCAATCTGCTTTTATTTGTTCTCTGAGTGCTAGGCAGGGAATGGAAAGGGCCTGGGCACAGGGATATGGGGACAGAGGGTACCCTAGCTGTCCATCCAGGGGACACACAGGCACAAATGCTGTAGGTCAGAACCTGGAAAGCGAACATCAGTTGCAATTCTTAGGAAGGCGGTAGACACCTGCAGAGTAGATAAGCTGCTGGTCACGGACCTTCTTCTGAAGGTAGCCCTGGAGTTCCTGCAGGTCAATCTCAGCCAGAGCAGGACCAGTCATTACAAACATTCGGAGCATGCTGTAGATGCGCTCCAGAGAGAGGCTCTCTAGGTTGGTCAACATGGCCTGGATGTATGTCCAGAAGAGCTAGGAACAGAAACCAGGCACGGTCAGTTGGCCACCTACTTAGCCCACCCTCAGCCCAATGTGAAAGTGGCCAACGTACCAGCAGCTCCTCTTCCTTCTGGTCAGCCTGGGAGGCCATGCCTGAGTCGCTCTCATCATCACTGTCAATCAGCACCATGTTGTCCCTGTCCTGAGGCCGCTCTTCCTCAATAACAGAGAAGGTACCTGGAGGCTCCTCCCGCAGCACACCCTGTTGCAGCCACACTGACATACGTCTTCTCAGCAGTGCCACAGGCATCTTCACCACCTTGCTCAGCTCTTCCAGGGTCCAGCTGGCTGTGAACAGAGCCACAGGATGCAGGGTACACTGGAGGTTATACCTCCTCCAATACCTGTTAGCCAGCTGGACCACCAGAGGGATGTGCACTGTCCTGTGTGACTCATAGGTATAAAGAATGGTTGCTATCCCTAAATTCTGCCCACAGTGGGCAGGGGGGAAAGCAGTGTCAACCTCACAGCTCATCAGACAGTAGTAGTGCCTAGCACTGGACCCAAGGTCAGGTGTTCAAGGCAGACCAGATGGAGTTCTACAGACTCACCTTGGTCCTGGAAATAAAGCAAGACTACTGCCTGCACTGGGGTCACTGCAACAGATAGGGTGCGGTCAGCCAGCTCCACATCCATTGTCACCAGGCCCAGGGTGTGCTTCCAACTGAGTGTCCGCATAGCCTAGGCAGGAATCATCAAGAAAAGTCCATGGGTTCCAGGCAGATCCAGATGAACAAGGCACAGACTCATATGCCATGCTACCTGGCAAGGAACGGCTCTTACACAAATGGCCTATCCAATGCCACCTCTGGCAGGCAGGTAGCTCAGTTCCTGAGCTAACAATGGGCACTGCTGGTAGATTGTGTCCCTCTCATGTCTTTCTACCTCAGAATGTGAAATATTTGCAGAGTTAACGTAGATGTACTTAGTTAAGAAGGGGTCATACTGAAGTATGGCAGGCCCTAAATAATTAGACCAGTATTTTTTCAAGAAAGGACATGGTTTAAAATAGGCACAGAAGGGAGTGACTATGAGAGGCACAGAGTATGGTGATATACCAAAAGCTGGGAAAAGTACTTTCTTAAAGGTGTCAGGAGAAGCACAGCCCTGCCAACACCTTGACACTGGACTTCTACTTCCCAAAACTAAAACAATATACTTCTGTTGTTTAAAACCACCCAACCTGTGACATTCCATTATAGAAGTCATAATAAATGAAGAATCTGCTGTGCCCATATCTTCAATCACAACACTCAGGAGGCAGAAAGATCTGGTCTACAGAGCAAGTTCCAGGACAGCCTGGGCTACACAGAGAAACCATGCCTCAAAAAAGGAGGAAAATAGATGGTGATTATGGTTCTAGGGAGGGACATATAAATATATCCTGTTATATAATAGTGTTATATAAATATATGAAATATGAAAGTAGCTTTGTACAATGTGAAAGTACATAAAATTAAATCCTAAAATTGTGGCAGACAACTGATATAACATGAGAGATAAGGATGATGTTGGTGAAGGTTCAGGAAGAAGAATTGTCCTCACCCTAGAGAATGCATACACTGTGTAGAACAGTGTTGGTAGGAATGTGGACATTAAGAGGACCTTGTGCTGAGGGTTCAAATGGAAATGAGGAACACACTAAGAGGCAGAACAGTACCAGTTAGTGGCCAGCATTTGCTAGAGACAAGTGTGACTTGTAGATCCAGCTGATCATCTCAGCAGAAACCAGCTACAGATGGAAGATCCAGGAAGACACTCTTTCTCTATTATTTTTCTGGGGGATGTCTGAAACAGGCTTGCTCTGTATAGCCCTGGCTGTCCTGAAACTCACTTTGTAGACCAGTCTGGCCTTGAACTCATAGATATCTGCCTGCCTCTGATGGTCTGAGTGCTGGAATTAAAGGCATGCATCACCCTCCTGGCTCCCTTCCCCCACTTACTTTCTCATTCTTCTTTTTTAGACAGGGCCTTACTATATAGCCCTAGTTGTCTTAAAACTTGAGACTAGTAGGCTGCTGCTGTGCCTGACTTCCAAGTGCTGAGACGACAGAACCATCCTGTTACCTGATAGCTCAGACACTGCAAACTTTATGCAAAACCACCAAGGTTTTTGAGTTTTATGCCAGCATCAATGCTGAAAGTTTGAAGGAAGGTGACAGAGATAACATAAAAGTCCATACTGACATGTGGGGTTGTTTGTCAAGCTAAGAGGACAGAGCACTGAGCTAGAGGGCTGTTATCAGACCTTGAACACTTACAGAATTCCTCTTGTTGTGTGTCAGATTTGCTTTGGGGCTC